ATCTCTCAGTCCTATTAAACATGTCTCCATACTGCGTTGGAATTCGGCTGGTGCAGAGCTCAGACCAAAGGGTATTCGGATCCATTCATACAAACCCCAAGGTGTAATGAATGCTGTCAATGGTTGACTGGCTTCTTCCATAAATCCTTGATGGTATGCTTTCCCCTGGTCTAGCACAGAAAACCATGAACTTCCTCCTAGACTGTCCAGCATGTCTTGGATTCTAGGAATTGGATGACGGTCAGGAATGGACTTCTGGTTCAACTCTCTATAATCGCAACACAGTCTTAAACTGCCATCTTTCTTTCTTACGCACACAATGGGTGAGGAATATGATGATTTTGATTCTGCAATCCATCCTCGATTTATCAGATCCTGCAGATATTCCTTAACTTCTTGGTGCAGTGGTTTCGGCACAGACATGTAAGTTCTCGTGACTGGTGTAACTGTCTTTGAGACAAATCTGTAACTGTAAAGAAGGAATACATCCCACATCAGAGTCATCTTTGGCAAAAAGCATTGCATTCTTCCCTTAGCATTTCTTTGACAATTTGTTGATCTTCAGGAGGGAGGTGTTTCAAAGGCACTGGCGGGTCCCAGCACTTCTGATTGTCATCCCCCACCCGCAGATAAGTCTCATTTGGATTTCCAATTTTCCCCTTTTGGTCCTACCTTGAGTGTCTGTGGTTCAGAGGTCACCGAATTAGTAAACACATTTGCTGATTGTTTCAATTGTACTTGAGCCGGATATGTTGTTTTTATGGGCTCTACACCTCCAATCTTTGTTTGACCTGGTAACACAATGTCCCGTTTAGTTGTATTCCAAACTGGAATGGTCACTTTGGAGAATTGTCCTCTTTGAAATGAGACTAGTGTCTCACCAATATGCAGTCCATCCGGCAGGTGATAAGCCTCACTCGGTGTAAACAAAACTGTCTGAGCCTGCAAGGGACGGTTTGGTGTGAGCACTACACCGGATGTATGTTACAGTATTTGCAGGGATTCTTTGGTTCTTAGTACCAGTCTTTACGATAGCACCACTGGTTTCCCTACAGTTGGCTTGTAGTAAGCTTACAAGGACTTCTGCTTGGGGGTTGGCAGTTCCAAAGCTGTTCTTAATATGTCCACAAAACCTTTGATAACTTTCTTCCCATCAGCAACTGTCTCTTTGAATGTTTCTTCAATTATATTATAGTCGATAATTGGCTTCTCAGGTACTTTCTCATCCTCAGAGACTACTAGTGGTACTAATAACTGTTTGGTAGTATTACTGCTCGATGTAAGCTGAAAGGTTACCTCAATCCAACCTGAGAACGGAATCTCTGTCTCATTGGCTGCTTTCCCTTGGAGTACCCCTGGTCCCAGCAGTTCTTCAAACGATCGGAGCACAGTGTGTGGCAGTACTCGCTGTCTCCAGCCCTCATTGATAATACTAACCTGAGAGCCAGTATCCCATAAGGCCTGGACAGGAGTTTTATCTATTTCACAGTTCACAAGGCATCTCTTTCCAATAAGACCCAGTAGCTTGTTGTGCTTTTTCAAAGTGATGCCATTCACATTGGTTGGCAATTTTTCAGCTGTCGGGGATAGTCTTTGAGCAGGGCAGGTTGGCGTTTTCCTCCAGTAGTCTGCGTTTAACTTTCTAGCCAGGGCTCTGATGGTAGGTTAGGGACTAGTTTCTTTACTACTGACATGATTTTCACTTTGGGACGCAGGTTTGGTTCTGGCACAGGTTACTGTCGGTCCCTTAACAGCAACCTTCTCCCGTTTAACTGATTTTGTTTTGCCGCTCTGCATTGTCTCGCCCTATGTCCAGCTCGACCACAGTTAAAGCAATGGTCGCATGCAGTTCTTTGATCAGTCTTTTCACAAGATTGACAAGTCCCTGTCCTTCCTCCAACAGTTGTTCTAGGTCCTCCAAAGCCATGCTCTTGTTGAGTTCTCGAATCTTGGAGAAGTGTTTTCATATCGAATATTTCTTGTTGCAACTGTATTACTATCTTTTCAAGGTCAGAGTTACTCTTTGAGGCTGTTGGATTGCCAGACTACTTGTTTGTGATGGAAGCAAAGGGAGGGTGCCTGGTACCTGAGAACAATGGAGGATGTTGGCCTGGCACTCTCTTCCCTTCGTCAGGTTACTGTGCTCAGATTTCTTTTGTTTCTGCTCCCTTTCCATCTCCATGTTTGTAGCCTCATTCATCTTCTCTATGAGCAACTCATCTGAGACTGTAGGATCGTCCAAGTGTTGTTTTAGTTGAAACTTGATATGGTCACTTCTCAGTCCAGTGCCCACTGACCTTAAGAATTTCTTTTGTATAAATTCAGTGCCAAAGTGTTCATCTGAACCTTCCCCTTGTGAAACGAACAGCAAACGGTCCTTCAATGCAATGGCCCTAAATAGGAAGTTCTGGGGAGTCTCTTTACTATTCTGTGATATATTGATCAATTGTTGGTATAGTTCGGAAGCATTTTCCTCTTTTATAATGGCTTTTTAGGATTCTCTTGAGTGGCACTAGGGTCAGTCCACTCTTCAGCTCTAGCATGCCTCTGAGACTTGACCCAGGACTAATGGCTTTCACCACAGCTTCCACAAGCTCTGACTCGGGATATCCCTTTTGCAGTCCCATGTCAATCTGGTGCATGAGGTTAGTATAGGACAGCTTATCTTCCTGTTCCTTTTCACCTATCTGACCAGCAATTTTAAAGTCCTTTCTGATTGTAACTTCTGGCAAGTTAGTATGGGAAAGTCTCTGAGCAACTAGATTAGGGTCTTGATTTGCAGGACTTCCTTTTGAGTCTTTGTCTTTAGTGCTAAGTTCTTTCATCTGTCCCTCTATCATCTTGGCCGTTTCTTGAAGTTTTTCCTGTATACTGTAGTATTGCTGTTTTAAATCCTTTAACTGTTGCTCTGCTTGAGGGTCTTTGCCACAATTGCTTGGTGCTTCCATGTTATCTCTCTTCTCTAACTCACCAATGAATTTCTTAGTTGCCTGCAGAAATTGTGTCACCACTTCTTCACTTTCAGTTTCTACCAGTTCATCTAACACCTCATTCACTATCCGCATGTAATGGCGCCGGGTTTTTCCTTTTGCCATACTTGCTTCGGAGGCCTTTATAAACTGGCAAGTCTCCATGAGATCATCGACTGTCATGTGAATCAGATGTTCACTGATTTCATCTTTCAACTTTTCGATATCCATACTCTAATGTTTTTCTTTAACTTCACCACGTACAGTGTAGTCACTCCTTTTCACTTCCGGACCTTTTGGCGTTCCTTTCACCCGGCCCCACGTTGGGCGCCAATTTTGTTGCACATACGGTAAATAATTCAACTGTGCGAAGGATGGGTCGGGTGAATCCAGAAGTGTTTTATTAGGAATGGCTGTAACAAACACAGAAAACCCTTAATTACATGTGACTGGATATGTTCACTGTAATCACTGTCCTCTATACCTTACTAAATATTTCCATATACATTAATAAGTATTTTCATATGCAGATATGCTAGTGACCTATTCTGCATAACAATAGCGTATTACAATAGAGAAATCACATTCCCTGTATCTTAGCGCTAAATCACATAGCTGCAATATATATTCACATTTATGCTACAAGTAATCTGATTGCATAATAGTAACAGCGACATTTACTAACCACCAGGGCACATGTTAAGTCATGTTGTCCTATTTATCATGTTAAACAGCCTCCTGCTTACCTGTAACAAACACAGAAAACCCTTAATTACATGTGACTGGATATGTTCACTGTAATCACTGGCCTGTAGGAAACAAAGTGTTAGACTTTTTGTTCCTACTTCTGTGTCTTCCTATTATCACAGGAAGTAGTTCTGCCCTCTTGTGATGGTACAATAACAATGCAATCACTAGTATCTTCTATTGACAAAGATAGATTATTGTTATATTAGGTATTAGGCTTTGGATTTAAATTTTATGGGGCTGCCTATTTTCTACACCTCTTACACTAGCATAGTAAACACCTTTTCCATTTTTTAATTTACTGAGTCATTTAAAGTGTATGTATAACTGAAGTTACTTCATTAGGACCTACTACATACCCCAAGGACTGGCCAATATTTATCCCTTGGCCAACCCCTTTTTTCTACGTTTTATTCAGCTGAAGGTTTGTTCCTTCATATGGCATGGATCTGTCCTAGTATTCATCCATTCTTGAGTGATCTAGTCATGGACATTAATGGTGCATATGATCTAGCCCTGGGATTGGACTCTAAGCTGTTGCTCTTAGGCATTTTTATGTAACTTTGTAAGAAGGTCTGGCTCACAGGTGTTCTATTGGGTTGAGGTCAGGACTCTGTGCAGGCCAAGTTCCTCCACCCCAAACTCACTCATCCATGTCTTTATGGACCTTGCTTTGTGCATTGGTGCGCAGTCATATTGGAACAGCAAAGGGCTATCCCCAAACTGTTCCCACAAAGTTGGGAGCATGAAATTGTCCAAAATGTCTTGGTATTTATTTATTTTTATTTATTTCAGGTACTTATATAGCGCCTTCAGTTTACACAGCGCTTTACATATATTGTACATTTACATCAGTCCCTAACCCTCAAGGGGCGTACAATCTAAGGTCCCTAACTCACATTCATACATACACATACTAGAGCCAATTTAGACAGGAGCCAATTCACCTACCAGCATGTTTTTGGAGTGTGGGAGGAAACCCATGCAGGCACAGGGAGAACATACAAACTCCAGGCAGGTGGTGCCATGGTTGGGATTTGAACCAACGACCCGAGTACTGCCAGGCAGAAGTGCTAATCACCTAGCCACTGTGCCTTAAGAGTTCCCTTCACTGGAACAAAGGGGCCAAGCCCAACTCCTGAAAAACAACCCCACGTCATAATTCCCTCTCCACCAAACTTTACACTTGGCACAATGCAGTTCAGCAAGTACCGTTCTCCTGGCAACCCTCAAACCCAGACACATCCATCAGATTGCCAGACAGAGAAGCATGATTCACTGCGCTAGAGTCCAGTGGCGGCGTGCTTTACACCACTGCATCCAATACTTTGCATTGCACTTGGTGATGTAAGGCTTGGATGCAGCTACTCGGCCATGGAAACCCATTCCATGAAGCGCTCTACACACTGTTGTTGTGCTAATCTGAATGCCACACAAAGTTTGGAGGTCTTTAGCTATTGACTCTGCAGACAGTTGGCAACTTCTGCGCACTGTGCGCTTCAGCATGCACTGACCCGCTCTGTCATTTTACGTGGCTTTGCTGTTGTTCCCAGTTGCTTCCACTTTGTTATAATATCACTAACAGTTGACCATGGCACATTTAGTAGCAAGGAAATTTCACAGACGGACTTATTGCACAAGTGGCAACCTATCACATTTGAATTTACTGAGTTCCTGAAAGTGACCCATCTTTTCACAAATGTTTGTAGAAGCAGTCTGAATGCCTAGGTGCTTAATTTTATACACCTGTGGCCATGAAAGTGATTGAAACACCTGAATCCAATGATTTGGAGGGGTGTTCCAATACTTTTGCCAATATAGTGTATGTACAGTATGTATTTATGAATAATTATTGCTGTGATATAGGGAAGCTTGAAGTACTTCTGAAATCTGCATCAGCTGTTTTTTTCTTATTTGCTTTAGATATTTAATGAATTATAATAAATAATTTTCTTGTAGGACAAAAATTTGATGTTGTATTAATATGGTACCCATATATAAGCTCTGAATTTCTATTCTATGTGTAACACTGTGCATTGTTACAGGGGATGCAGGATTCCATTTGCACACAAGATTGCAGCATTCAGTACGTTACCTTTCTATAGCCTTAACAGCGTGCTCACCGCCCCTTAGCAGATGTACTGATACAGGGCAGCTGCACTGTGCAAAATCACGTAAATATATGTGATTTTGCATTTCTGGGCAGGGGGTGCGCATGCCACCCTACCCACGCTGCTATTGCTTCCTGAGAATGTCAATCACCAGGTGCTGGCCCGCAATTTCCAGTCGAGACTCAGTGATCGTCGGCGAAGCTGAGAGGGGAGAGATCTGCGTGTAACCAGCACAGGTCTCTCTCCTGTCAGCATGGGCATGCTGCTTTCTCTCTCTGCACAGTAGAGAGAGAGAAAGCAGCAGTTCTCCTAAGTAAAACAGCACCAAAACACTCCCTAAGCCACTGTTAACCCTTTCCTGCCCAGTGTCATTAGTACAGTGTCAGTGCTTTTTATTAGCACTGATCACTGTATTAGTGTCACTGGAGATGTCAGTGGCAGTTAGTCAGTTCCCACCAAGTATCAGAAGGCAATTCCTCAATCCCGCTATATCCTGCTGGTTGCTGTGCCATTACTGGTATAAAAAATCCAGTATATATATATATATATATATATATATATATATATATATCACCATTTGCAGATGCTATAACTTTAATGTAAACCAATTAATATACACTTATTGGGATTTGTTTTAGCAATAACATGTAGCAGAATACATTTTGGCCTAAAGTTATGAAGAAATGTTATTTTAAAAAATTTTTTATTGGATATTTTTTATAGCAAAAAGTCAAAAATAGTGTTTGTTTTTCAAAATTGTCAGTCTATTTTTGCTTATAGCGCAAAAATTAAAAATGCTGAGGTGATAAAATACCACTGAAAGAAAGCTCTATTGGTGGGAAAAAAGACTTAAATTTAATTTATGTACAGCGTTGCATGACCGCGCAATTGTCAGTTAAAGTAACACAGTACCATATGGCAAAAAATGGCCTGGTCAGGAAGGGAGGTATATCTTCTAGAGGACAAGTGATTAAAGTGGAATCAGGAACTGAAGTCCTGCTAGATCTGCCTATCCTGTTTAAAATCCAGTAATACACTGTCACATCATGCTATGCCCAAGTTGAGTTATTCTCTATTTTTGGCACTGTGCCAAATTTGTGGAGACAAATCTGTTGACAGCCAAAAGATTTACTGCTGCTCAGGACTCTGGGCTTCAGCAAAATGGCAGCCTCCAGCAAAAATAAACAGGAACAATGCTGGAGGCAATTTACAGCGCACAATGATTTTGGTAGCATAATTATTCATGTGGAATGCATGTTCCTTGCTAAAGAACAATCATTATTTATCAAGTTGTTATGGGTAGAATTCTGCTTCAATACAAGAAGAACGTTTAATACAGTAAAGCTAAAGTCACAACTACAAAGCCCCAAGCACCAGCCAAGGGGAGGGACATGATAGAAAGAAAATCTTTGGAAGGAGCCTAGGCATTTGGGGAGAGACATGCCAACTGGAAAGAATGTGTGAGTGACTGTTCCAAGTTGTGCTATATGGACCAGGCCGGGCCAAATTGCATTCAACAGAGTTGCTAGTGAGCCAAGGAGCAGATGGCTGTACCGATCACTGAGCCAAGGAGACCTTTCTGGAGAGACTCTTTAGCATCTGGAGCCACTGTGAGGAGTACATGCATCCAGACAGCCACAACAGCCATTTAAGACCCCCCCCACCACCTCATGACAACTTGTCTTCTTACCGGACTACCATAGAAAAACTAGGTGAGAGGGTCTCTGACCCACACTTCCCTGCTGCTCGTTACAATTAGTTCTTGTTGCCACCCAAGCCTACTATAGTCACTTCTGGAAACTGTCTTTGATCAGAGCTAAATATATTGCTGCCATCCATTGCTGTAAGTTGACACCCTTTTTTACTAAAGCTTCCATTGAACCCAGTCTGCTGAATTGAATTAACACTTTTCTTCCTGCTTAACCGACCCCTTGCGTCCACAGCATTTACGTTTGCTTGCCAACATAAGGAGGCACTCCTACCGACTAAGTTCAACCTCACTTTATGGAACTTCCCCGCTAACTCCACACCCTAAAGTGAACTTCCCCATTGACTTCATACCTTAAAGCAACATCACCCTATTCTAAGAGCCAACGTAGAGGGCGCCAACTAAGCCAGCAGAAGCTATATCCAAGGACTAATTAGATCCAAGTGTCTCCCTGGTAGCAGCACTAGTGTGCTGGAGATTTGATAGCCTTTTAGGAATAAGCCTAGACTCTCCTGAGTGAGAGCTCTAAGGTGAACTAGGTGCTGCAGTACATATTTAGCCTCACTTTAACGGTACTGACGTTAACTGCACTGTATTGTTATTGCCTACTACTTGAGTGTTCATTTTGAACCGTTGTATTCCCTTTCCACCACTCTAGTCTTTCAATGCAATCTGTTCACTTTATGACAGACAGTCAATGTATACATTTCTTGTTTAACTGTTCGGAGGCCCCAGCAAGAGTATTCTGGTTGAGTCAGCAGGAGTGAGATTCCCCCTAGGGTCAAGGGAAAAGCGGAGGAATCATTACTACCTGTGGCTCCTGCAGGAATAATGCTTGCTACATATGTATAGTCAAACTTTTTTTTTGTCAGATAGAGTATGGAAGAGCTATTTTTGCTGTTTATGTACCAGCAAGGAAATGTCCAATTATTTCTTGTCCCGGCGTTACAACACAAAGTTAGACATGTATCAAACTGACACAAACACGCAGATGGTCAACATTATATAAAAGTAGCAATACAGTTATAGCAATGACAAATTTCAAAAATTAAGGTATGATAGGTAAGGGCCCCAGTTTTGGAGCCAACTATATTATCCTTTATGCATAAAGGGGATCTACAAACCAGATTCATGGATTTCTTTCAGGTGTATCTAATGGGTGGTAGACAGACAGGAGATTCAAGCTCTGATGAAGAGTCAGCTTGTCTGCCTGTTAGCGAATAAGGTCCAGGTTCCAAGCAGCACTTAAATCCTGTTTCCTTGTTCATTTTGGGATCCTAGTTCTCCTTGAAGTCCTTGGCCTTTTTGCTTTTTGTGAGTATGTTTTTGATATTTATACATTTAATAAACGTTTTTAAAGGTAATGCACAAGGATTTGCACCCTCTTTTTTGTGTTTTAGTAGCTAAAGGAATGTTGATATAAAAAAGAAATAAGGATTGTGTAGAAAATGTGTGGGAATATATATGTATTTTATTTATTGATATGGAGTTCTGAATAGTACCTCCAAACTTCAGCAAACATTCAGTAGCAGGATGCATTTTACATTGAATATACCTGAATAAAAATTGCTGCAATGTACCACCTCTTTTGTGCTTCAGTGCTTTCTTTCATGCTTTTATCCACTAAGCTGCTCACAGGTGATCTCATCTAAGGTATTAGACCCATCACTGGTTTTCCAATTTGGGGGTAGGCCCTATTCACCCAGGCATACAAAATTCTACATTCTGATCTGTACACTATTTAATTGTTTTTTTTTTTCAGAACTGAATGCAGCAATATTGTGTGTTATGGGCCCATGCACACCTCTGTGTTATGCTCAGTAATCTTGGGCTGCATTCAGCTGTGTAAAATCAAAGTAGAAAATTCTGTGTTCATGGTCAGTATTTCTGTATAAAATATGCACATACTGTATGTCCTTACTAGCTGGGATTGAAAACTGAGTTAGAAGAATTAAAGAAGAATTTTATGGACCTTTACCTGTCTAAACACATGGAAATGGAAACCTTTTCTGGACACATTTGGTTATGAAGCATCTTTCTGTCAGAAAGATCCTCCATAGGTATTGGTATGTTATTACACCTGTGGGCACGAGCCTTTATTGCCATAACAGCACCACAAATGACATTCGCCCCTTCAACACTAACCATAAAAAATAATTTTTTTAATCCTCTATGCTAAACACTACATTATTTTCTACAAATTGCTGTATTTATTTAGCGAAACAAGTCTTCTCTAATGCTTGGTAGAAATGATAGCTTAATGGCTCCTTTTCAGAAATTTGACAATGTTCCTGGTCCAAGGTTATGTCCACACTGTACCGGAAGAAAAAACATAGGCAAAGGCTTAGGTAATGATGAACAACTACTAATGGCACCACAGTAAAAGCTGATGATGAACTTGTTCTTGAATTGCACTTGAAAGCGCACTGAAAGAACTGATAAAAGTAGTAAAAAATACAAAACAGGTTTCATCAGTATAATAGTCTACCTTCTTCTATTCCAGCTCCGATAAGTTTAACCATTTTTAGTATATTCTCAGTTTAGTGTTCTTTAAAAAAAACCCTGCAAACTGCTTTTTTCCATCTATGTTTTACTATAGTATGAAGTCCATGGAACCACACTGTGTTCCCCTTAAGCTTACCAGCTGCTTCTGCAGCATTGCCCCAGCCAACCTGCAATGTGTTGTGCACAATTGTGCAAGCCTCACTTGCTGGGAACAGAAGTCCTATACAAGGACATGTCCTGTTCTTGCACAGCACATAGTTAAGCCCACCTATGACTACATCCTCAGGAAGATTAATTTAAGTTATTGTGTTGGGGGACTGCATTGTATGTGTGAGGGAAAGGTGGCTGCCTTGTATGCATGTTTTGGGAGGAGGGCTACATTGTTTGTATGTATGCGG